GAGAAAGAGCCTTGAGACATCGAGCGGCGGTCCGGGCCTCTGCGACATTGTTCAGCAGCGTCGGGTCTCGCCAGCATGGTTGCAGTAGTCTATCCAAAAGCCATCCCGCCGAAATGTTCTTCTTCTCCGACGTGTGCTTCTGCCGCGTTTTTGTCGGATCCAAGCCTAGGATGCCCAGTAACCTAGGAATCAAAAGGACTTTTTTTTTGTAAGATAGTTCTATATGGAACCTAAGCCTACAAAAAGGGAAAAAGGGTCTATACTGGGAGACCTAGAAGCCCAGGAATGGACCCTGAGCGTCCTGCAAACACAGGTGTTTGTACATACACGAGAAAGCCTCGACATCACGCAACTTGAACTCCGGCCACTGCAAGCACCAGTCCAGCAGGCGGCTGCTGCACACGGCAAGCATGAAGAGGCCGGTGAGCAGTGTCATGTTCCGCTCGTTCTGATTCTGCTCGTGTCTGGTCTGCGCTGTCCACCACTTCTGCAACTGTTGCGTGAAAGGGTCGTCGTACTTCTCGACAGAGTGCAAGTCAGCGTTGTCCATCACGTACCTCAGGCTGAGACGACTACGCGGGTTCACTGTCGAAAGCAGACCGTTGTACCTTTGCAGACTCAGCTTCCCTCCTTGCCACGTTTCCACCTCCCCATCCCCGATCACACGCTTGAGGACGTAGACAGCCAAAAGCAGCGGCAGGAGCTCGCTGCCCAAGGACGGCTCGTCTTTCCAGAGAGCTCCAAGGGCTCGTCGCGTTGCATCAGCATGGTCTGCCTGCCTGACATTGACGAATGTACATTTGTTGAGGTGGTAGAGACCACGTTGCAAATGGCTTCCATTCCTGTCCGGCGTCAAGCCCTCGTTGACCAAGTCTTCGAGGCTCCGCGATGCCGGGGGCATGGCTATCCGTGACGGGATGCGAACGCGAGTGAAGCACTACCAATGATTCATGCCCCTACATACGATGCAAGACTGAGGCTTCAACAACTTTAAAAACGGTGCTCAGGCTTCAACAACCTTGCACACGCAAGATTTCATAGATCCCATCTTCCGGCCAGGTGGGCGGTAGGTTCAAACCGAATCCACGCCGACCCCTGCAGGCGGCTTGGGATGCCATGTACGCAATTATCGTGCTCCGGCTTCTGCAGGCGCCGATCAGCTCGTGGTCTGGTTGGAGTCCAGTGAGGAACTCGCCGATTTTTGCCAGGTCGGATCGACTGCCTGCATCCACGCTCAATCGCCGTAACTTGCCTTTAGTCCAGGTGGGCTCGAGGACCGGTAAAATGGTCCTGGGATGTGATGTAAAACTTACAGAAGAAAACACCAGCCTGCGAAAAAACTTGAAAAGAGAGTAAGCTCGGGAAAAGGTTACCAACCCCTGCATGGCTCTGCCACGTGGCCTGGCGGATATCTGACAAGTAACGAACCCTCTTTGGGATCATATCCCGGCCTATCAGGAACTCCCAGATCGCATCAACAACTTCCGGATCCCCTTTCATCAGTGCAATGATTTCCTCCTGAAGAATCCCATGCCGTTGCATGCTTGGAAAAGTGCCCCAGAAGCTACTTCTACGTTCGTGATTACTGCAGTAGCTGCCACGCAAGGTCCGGAGCCCAAATGTCGCCGATGCACGCATACGCTCCGATGTGGATGTTCACATGAACCGCATTGATTGCAGCCGGAAGTCTAGAAAACCAAAGTCGAGACTGACAGTTGGGTGTGCTTCTGGCAAACCCACGTGCAGCACTTGACTTGGCCTGGGTCAGCGCCGCAGCCACTGTCCGGCCGCTTCCAATGACAACCTCAGCGCACCCCAGCACTGTCCCAAAGTAGCATTACGACGATCCCCTGAGTGCAACATGCAGTCCGCAGCAAACACGTCGTCACTTTTCACCCTCCAGCTTGTGCGCCACACGTCCATGCGTACAGCGAAGCCACGCCTACGCAAGTGCCCTGCCTACCAAATCGCACAAGGTGATTTGGAGGACTGCATCGCCATGCCTTGGGACACAACACTTGAGCCTGTCCCTGGAATGGAGTACCCTGCATCCGCTCTTGCTGGGAGCATCACTTCATCAATGCACCCAACTCGAGAAAATTCTTGGCCTGATACTCTCCCTTAAGCTGCACCAGGAGATTGTAGATGTTTCGGTCCCTGGCCGCCATCTTCGCCTTGAGTGCCTCGATCTCTCCCCTGAGCATCGTAGTAATGTGCGGTTCTCTGCGAGAGTCTAAGATGAGCTGTACCTCTTCCAACGTCAAACGCATACGTTTGCTGGACCGTTTGCTCTCATCGTCCTTTGATGCTTGCTTGTCTCGTTTATTCTTGCAAGGCTTCTCTTCTGAGTCTTCCTTGGCAACAAGTTGCCCCGGCTCTTTCTTGCAAGTCTTCTCTTTTGACTCTTCCTTGGCAACAAGTTGCCCCGGCTCTTTCTTGCAAGTCTTCTCTTTTGACTCTTCCTTGGCAACAATTTGCCACGGCTCGGGACACTCCCGTTCTTGCTCCCGAGCTCCCGCAGAAGAAGACATGGCTCGCGACAGCACGGGCGCGCAAAGGCGCCGAGTGATTAAGAAACGTAGGTGAAAGCGTATCTGCCTCAAGGAGCTGATGTCCTGAAAACAGGCATGCCACGCAGCTTGCACAAACTGGTTACATGAAGCGGGAGGGAGTCCAACAAAACATACCTGAAGCCAAACAAGTTTGCGAAGCATAAGGTTCATGTCATGCACCCCAGCTGTCAACATGGAACATCTTGGGTGAAGTTCCGCGCAGGAGTTTGTAAAGATTGCAGGAGGCCTCGACTTCCAAACCTCAAAGCCGCGCGGGTCGAGACTACAGCTCCGCCAATGAAGCCTGTTGGGAAGGCGAGAGCATGGACCCATGTCTTCGAAACCACACTAAAAGGGCCCGCCTGAAATCCTCTGCACTTGCGGCGGCGTTTGATTTTTGCAGCATCTTTGGCTTGGGTTTGCCAGCATCCGATTCAAAGTCCAAAAACGTGCTGATGAAGCCTCTTGCGCACTCCAGAAGCAAGCCAAGGATCCCAAAGCCAAGCTGACCAGAAACGCCGCGACGCTGTAGGCCCCCAATCCTTCACTTTAGCCCTAGAGCCCTTGACCCAACACACAGTACGGTAGCATCGGCTCGAAGTGGCCACAGACCACTGCCCCATGTCTACACCAGACCCCTGCCAAGGCATGCACTGCGAGGGCAGGGTGGCGAGCCAGAGGATCATGTCGCTGACGATAAGAAGGGTGGCGAGCCAGAGGATCATGTCGCTGACGATAGAAGAACGTGATGGCCTCGGCAGTTTGCAAACAAACGTTCCATGCTCAATGCGAATTTTAAATGGCATTGTGGAGCTATCCGAATACAGAGCCTGCGCGCGAACTTTGGGCTTCTTTCGCTGTGCACTCACAACTTTTGGGGGTTCCGTGGATATGTTTCACATACGACTCAAATCTTCCAACATGCAAAATGCAGCATCCGAGGGCTTGCCTGCCAGGTGCTGGACACTCTGCAGTGCGAGTCTACATGCACCTTTCACCGCTTCTAGAATTCGAGACTTGCCACCAGCTTTCAAGAAGACTTGCCACCAGCTCCAAAAAGCAAGCTGAAGGTCAACACAAAAATCCGAGCACGCCCACTGCGGTCCAAGCCCTCCAACATCTGCCCAGGTAGCTGATCCCAGCTTCATCGGCGTCTGAAATGCGACGGTTGACCCCCTCTGAATTGGAACAGTATAACAGCAACAGTCAGAACTCCAATGTGCTACAAACCGCATGCTGGAAGCAAGACACCCTAACAAGTGCCGGGCCACGTCCCTGGGAGGCTCGCTTTCCATGTCGCAGGCAGCACACAGAGGAAATGATGTGAGCTTTGATGTGGGCTGTTCGTTCGTGGCAGGTGTCGGTCCGTGATGAGACGAACCAAATAGGTATCGTGAAATTGAAGTCCCAAGGAAACTTTTAACGTCATTCCGAAGAGCCATCAAAACCCCAAGAATCAGCCACATTCCACTGCAAAACACGGGTCGCGCAAACTTTAAGCTGAGAAGTCTGGATGGGATGGGTTCGGCCCACCGATGCTTCGGCGAGTGTCTTCTGATTGAGGCTGCCTTCGCTGTCATGCATGAGCCGTTGGGTCTGCTGGTTGAACCGCGCGGCCACTTGTTGGCTGAAGTGAATAACAGCGAGACTTCCGGTTCATCCCCGGCGGTCGGCGGTATTCGTGTTCCCGAAAAAAACTCCGAATGCGACGCATCCCAGGCCTGTGGGGGGAGGACGCAGTGTCGCAGGTTCACAAGGTCTGTGGCCGGCATCAGGACCACTTCCAATCCGGGCTTGCCGATGCGAGTGCCATCAAGCGCGACGGCCATCCTCAAAAACTCGTCCAAAAACCCAGTCAACACGGACTAAGCACTGTTGCTACGGAAATATATTATTACCAACACGAGAGCTTTAGATTTTCTGGCAAATGGCGAAGTAGGCTTGGAGAATGTCAAGCGAAGGGTTGCCTGGTAAGCGGCCATTTCTTCAGCAACAAACTTGGGCGCCGTATTGCGGTGGGCTCCTTCCAGTGACCGTGTGGCAGCTGCAGCGGATTGCCCTTGCACGCACCACTGTTTCACGTGGTAATCCACCCTGCGTGCTTTCAGCACTGCATCTGCGCTTTTATGCCAACGCATGTCACCCCAAGCACTTGCCCGTGCATGGATCTTGCGTGCGAGATTTTCCACAATGCCTTGCAACCACTGTCGAGCTGCCGGGCAAGGCAAAAGGTTGTAAGCATGCCTCATCTCTTGAAACAACTGCGCTTGCGGCGGTGCTGCTTCATCCACGACGCAGGTCCATTGACCCTGCTGAAAACAGGGACAAATACCTTCAAGCTTTGGTTCATTCGGACATGTGCGCGCGGCCGAAGGCGGAGGTTTCAGGGGGCTGCCGTTTTCAAGAGGCGGTATAGGCAAGCACATTTGAAAAAACACCTGGCCAACAGTCTCCACCACCAGCCTTGCGTGCTTCTCCTTGCCTCAGCTAGTCGCCATGCCTCCTAAAACCTGAACGAAACACAACGGTGTGCAATGGTGGGAACTGGGTTTCCACGTCGTGGTATAGGTCTGCAGAACCTACTGTGCCATAGGTCTAGGTCTCTCTTTCTAATAAAGAGGTCTAGGCTTCCAACAACATGGATCCGCTGACTCAAAATCGCATAGTGTAGCCGACACTCCAAGCGAGATGCGATTTAGTGACCAGTGAACCAGAAGGCTTAACAACGCTTCGGTTGAGAACCAGTGCTCCTGCTCAGAGTCGCTGGCATCCCCTCCTTTGGCCACCACTGCTTGTCGGCTTTTGCCCATGTGCTCGGACACGTCAAAGCCCAGCCCAGCCACAACTTGTTGCCAGTTTGGCCAATGCTTCATGATCGTCCGCCAGGGTTTGCTCGACTCTGCACCTGGGGCAATAAAAAACCGTTCCCAACCTTAGTATCCTTAACACAAGTGTTGAAGTTGAAAGGTGTTGTCGGTAATTAGATTATCGGGAAGCGTTGTCGGCTAAACTCGCCATATATTGAATCGAAAAACGATTCTGATGGAGCTGTTGTGCTTGTGGGCCCACGTTCTGTTCTTAAGACTTCTTGCCAATCACAAAACATGGTCAAGCCAAATGCTTGCAAACGCTGTCTGCTCAGCGTCGTGCAAAACAGGCCGACACTTCACGATACAGTAACATGATGATGTCGTCTTGGCAATAGAAGAAGAGCCCTTATCGGTAGATTCCTCCGGTTATCGGTGAAGACTTCTTATGAAAGGGTAATAACTCAAAGGGACCCACCAATGCTAAACCAAGAGGTGCGGGGTCATTTTACCGTCCCGCCTGTGGTTTTGTACGACACATTCTCGATCATGCGTCGCACCTCCCACCGCAGATCACCACGCTGGCCTTCAAAGGCCTTCCAAACGCAGGCCACCCTTTCTCCGGAGGGGAGGACGGCAGAAAACCGAAGGAGTGCCCCCATTGTAAGGTCATGTTCTGTCATGTCCGGCAACTACTGTTGTAAGTTGGTTTGGTGATCTGCTGTCGTGACAACTGCTATCCGATGCCCCTGTAGTACACCTTGTTCAGGCTGGCATTGCTCAGGCATCATTGGTCGGCCCAAAAAAGCGCCTCCGAGTGCTACTCTGCATTACGGGTGTCATGATCCCTGGTGCTAGTTGTGGACAAACATCACTGAGCCATGCTGGCCAAGGCGCACTAGCTGTCACTAGCTCCGTAAGCCAGGCTCAGCCAGCGTTCGGAAGACCGGAACCCTTACCCCTAAACTTTTAGGAGTTAGGGTGTAGGGCTTAATGTGAGCTCGTGATTAGTAACGGTCCCCTCAATTGGGCTAAACTTGGCCTGCACACAATAGTGGAAAGGCCCCCTCTACTCCTCAGGGTTCCCGATGTTTCTTTCTGGAAACTATAACTGTTAGGGTTCCTTATAGTTTTTATGGAAACTATAAGTGTAAAGGTTCCTTATACTGTTTTATGGAAACTATAACTGTTAGGGTTGATAAAGCCCCTTTCGAACCGCAGAGGTCCTCTTCGAGCAGATGGGGCCCACTGCTGCGGAGCGGTGGCAGAACTACACTTGGCCAAGGCAGGTGGAAAGGACCTCCCTTGCAAAAGGTTTCCACAGGGTTTGGGCACGGTGTTGTTGTGGAAGAAGAAGTTCAGAGTTTAGGGTCGATAGTATATTGTATGTCATATCAAAAGAAGAATAAGAAGGGTGTAGGGTTTTAGGGTTTTGGGTTCAGGGTGCTGAGGCTTGTTTCGAAGGTCCTCCAAGGAAACGCGTGGCTCAAACGATGCGGGGATCCTAAAGCGAACCCTCTGAAAACCTACAGAACCCTACACAACCTCACAAACCCTCTCAAACCCTAGAGTCCCTCCTCTAAACCCCTACAAGCCCTCTGAAACCCTGCTTGGCGTTTCGTGGGCAGCTGTAAGTGGAGGTCATAAGTAGGGTAACTGTAGCTATAACCCATATTAGGGGACTTGTAACTCCACTTAATGAAAACTGTTCATGAACCTCGAAGTGATTTGTAAAAGCCCATAACTCAACAACGCGCGACAACGTAGACTCCAGACCCCTAAACTCCAGAGCATCGGCCGTGCAGGCTTCTGGATGCCGTCCGCGCAGCTTTGCTGGCCACACGACCGGTGACCCGCTAAAACGTGAACTTTGTGGAGGGATTGGGGTTTGGGAACGGAGGGTTTAGGGTTTAGGGTTTAGGGAGGGTTTAGGGTTTAAGACATATGGGGTCCCTTACATTTTCAAACATGCATTTATAAGGACTTTATGGCATGTTGCAAGGGGCCCTTTTGCTACATTCTAGAGACCCCATATGCCAAACGTTGCCCGCGCAGAATAATAAAGTCCCCTCAAT